ACTTACCAAGTGAGTGGGTTTTCCGGATGATTTTAAGCGCGAGTGAACCTGCGTTTTGCAGGGCGTTTATGGAAGCGGTTACGGAGCTTTTCTGATCTCGCCTAGTCGCGAATATCATGCCGGAGGCCCGCTCAAGCAGGACTTGCTGATCCACCAGGACTCTTTGATCACCAACTACTTTGTGAGCAGTCATTTTGGCACCTCCGGATTGACGGCCCCATCTGGATGGACTCACATCTATGGACCTTGGCTGCTTTATTTCAACACTGGCACCAACAGCGCCATCCTCAGCGATGTAGCAACTCAAGCAGAGACGGAGAAAGACAGTTGGCCTTACAGTTTTGTGAATGATGACGACTATCCAGTGGACAGGTAGAGAACTTGCTGCTCCAAAAAGCCAGACTTATTTGAATTTTACCGTCTGTCCAGAGGCACAGTTAAAGGAACCATCACTGGCCAGCCCCTGGCTACGATTATGCTGTACGATACGGAAGAAACATCTTACGATGATCAGCAGCTGGGCTACGCATTCACTACGGAGTCGGACTCTAGCGGGTCATACACGCTAAAAAACGTCCGTCCTGGCATCTACAACGTGGTCGCCTATCCAGTGGCTGGACAAGGCAGTGAAAATGAAGCCAAAACGACCGTTACTGTAGCAGCAGGTAAGTCGCTGGTAAACTACCCAAGTGTAGACTTTTTTTCTTTTTCGGTGAGGTTTGGGAAATGCTTTTTTATGCACTCCCAGAGCTGGTGGTCTGTCGGTCTGGGTTGTGTGGGACTCCAGCTAAGCTGTTTACCCACTAAAACCCTTTCCTCACTCATTTCACTCCCTCATTATCCCTGTATATTCAATGAATTCCAGAAGAATCTTGAGGGGAGTTCGCATGATCTGGTCTGGTGGAATTTCATCCCCTCCCAGGAGTCTTCGTCTACCTGTTGCATATGACGTGCAGTGACACGTAACATGCAGAGTAGTTTCGTCCTCTAATTTGCAACCCCTGCAGGTCGGTTGATCGCTAGAGCATATGTTCTAAAAGGTACCGAGATGCTTAGAGTTTTGATTCGATCAGCTTTTGATCCCATGGGTTCGGCTGTCTTCAATTTTCTGAAGATCGCACTGTGTCCGAAAGCCGTCGCTTTCCTGAGGACATCGTCACCCATAGGGTAAGCGCTTCTTAGGGCCTCAGCTTAGTACACCATCTTCGATGAAATTCCCCAAGTTTTTCCAAAAGTGCGTTTGCAGGCCCATAAAGCCCTGATCGCCTTGTTTGTTTTCTGTTCCACATGTTCTTTAAACAACAGCTTCTTACCCAGGGTTACCCCAAGATATTTAACAGTGTCAGACATGTGTATATTGTTCCCCTATATAGACATTTGTCGTAGGGCTCTAAGATCTCTCGTCCTTGTGAAAAACTCGGCATGTTTTGGATCCATTTACATATTATAGGCTCCACTCCACGATTGACTGAAAAGAGGTATTGTCAAAGGCTCCCTCTATGTCCAGAAAAGCCGCCAGAGCAATTTCGTTACGCTCTAATGAGGGTTGTGCCTCTGCACCAACTCGTGGATAGCAGATTAGCAGGATTTTCCCATTTGGTAGGCATATTGGTTGTGATGTAGAGGACTTCTAGTAAAAACCTCTTCCTTGATGTGTCTGTTGATCAGCTTTTGTCCAGTTGTGACAGTTTAACAGCGACCTGCTCGGCCAAAGGAGGTCCTTCATCCGACAGGGTCTTTACAGTTTTACCCAGTCCTCTGATGGTGTCCGCATAAGCTTCAACGGCCGCTTCCAGATTTTCGTGCTTCTTCATGAAGTTCCTGGCGCTGGTCTCATCTTTGCCCCGATCTTCCACCCTCATGCAGAGCTCCTGCTCGCTCATCCAGCTCTCGGCCTCATTGGCATCGAACAGATACTGCTGCGCCCGCTCGTTCCTCAGCAAGTTGGTTCGTCCATTATCGATGGCTTCCTATCTCCTAATTTCATTTTCGCTTAACTGTCGATGCTCTCTGGTGGTGTCAATAACAGATTCGTTCTTTAATGATGCCCCTGCTAAAAGAGTCTCCCAATTCGATGCAGCGTTTATCGACTCTACATCAGGCTGAGCTTCCGCTGGCGCATTTTCTTCGATGGAAATGTTTTCTCCTTTCGGCAATTCTTGGTCGGAAAATTGCTCAACTTCAGTAGCGATTTTTATTAAATTGGCGTCTTCATCTAATGCTGGCAAATCATGTACGGGTTTATCGCTAGTTGGCCCATTGCACTCAGAATCTGATGATTCTTCATTCGAACAAACCACTTTTTCTCAGTCCGGTTCGACAGTTTTCCTTCGAAGCATTATTTCGGGGTTAGTTTTCGCTGATTCAAGCAGATTTTGCGCATTTTTCTGCATAGTTACATACTCATGTTCCACCGGCCTAGTGATGTCTTCGATTTTATCACTCACAGTTTTATCGGCAACCGACAATTCTTCAGTCTTCACAATAGTCGCTTCGTCCGTAATCACCTTGTCTGATGGGAGTT